CAAATTTGTGGTAGATATTTATTCATCTGAGAGAAAACATTACATCAGTTGCATTGACATTTATTCAAAATTCGCTACACTTGAACATATTAAATCAAAGGATTGGATAGAATGCAGGAACGCACTAATGCGCATTTTTAATCAGTTAGGTAAACCCAAATTACTAAAGGCAGACAGAGACGGAGCTTTCACCAGCTTGACTCTAAAGCGATGGCTTGAAGCAGAAGGAATTGAATTACAACTTAACACGGCAAAAACCGGTGTAGCAGACGTCGAAAGACTACATAAGACAATAAATGAAAAAATCCGAATAATCAACTCATCCGATGATGAAGAAGTAAAATTAAGCAAATAGAGACAATTCTTTACACATACAATCATAAAATAAAACATGACACCACTGGACAAACACCTGCTCAAATATTCTTATACGCTGGACATCCAATATTAAACACTCAAAATATTAAAGAAAGGAAAATAGATAAAATAAATGAAGATCGACAGGAATTTAACATTGACACTAGATACAGAAAAGGTCCACTTCAAAAGGGAAAATTAGAAAATCCATTTAAAGCAAATAAAAATGTAGAAAAAATAGACGAAGACCATTACAAAATTATTAATCGAAATAGGGAAACCCAATACTACAAAACACAATTTAAGAAACAAAAGAAAACTAATACCGTTAAACTTCCACAGGAATCTTCTGTACGATGATGTTATTTCTATTATTCATTTTTAACCCAAAGTTACTCAATTACGACAATCTAGAACGCATTAACAGCCAAAATATACTTTTAATCAAAACATCTACGTGGATTGACTACAAAAATAACGAATTGTTACTTATTTACATATCCCTATTAACCACAAAACCATTAACACCATTAAAATAATTCCTTATCCCGACCATAATGGATATCAGTTAGACTATTCAGATCAACAATCATATTTTGAAGATAAGAATAAAATTTATAATCAAGACAATAAAGAAGTTAATAATGAAGGCATTAAAAATATAATTAAGCGTAAAAATCCAATTTGTAATTTTATACCAACTCCTACAAAGGAAATGATTCAATATGTAGAACCAAATATTATACTTACATGGAATCTAACTGAAACTACAATCGAACAAAATTGTCAAGAATTAAATGGCGATATTAAAATAAATGGAAGCAAATTATTAGAATAAAACAATGTAGAGTTAAATTGGAAATGTTATTTTAAGCGAAAATTCGTTAAGTCCAGAATTTGATTTAACAGCATTGTATTCACCGATTAATGTTACTAAGATAAAAATAGTAGAACATAATGACGTTTTAAAACTAATTTCAGAAAATAATACCACACTTTACGTAATTATAATATTAGTTGTTATCGTTCTTATTATTTTTGTTGTCCTATCAAAATTGTATACACAAAATCCACTTACCTTTTTATATACAAAATTTAGAAAACAAGCAAAAAATAATCAAGAACCACAACAAGAAATAGAACCGGCACAAAATCAGTTGCCTGCATTGTACCCTGAAATGCCAACCCAATCATAGGCAACCCTTTTAAGGGGAGGGAAGTGACATATTCACAAATTCTGTTATGTTCCAAGAAATATGAATCTGCAGCGTAGGCGATCCCACGCTGAACCAATGTAAACAATCCACATCCGGAGCAAGCAATGCTCCTTCTCAATAACATAAATAATTCTCAATCAATATCCCAAGCGGGCGATCTCGCTCCCCAACTTTTGTAAACAAAGGGCAGTAGAAGTAAGATTTTTGTCACATTAATTTAGTCTTAAGCTGAGATCAATTGAATAAAGACGTGAAGCGGAATATTCGTTTGTTTTAATTCAACTTAGCGTTGTCCTTAGTCAACTGACGGGACATTAGTTCGACTCACAATATTAAAACACTTCACTATATATATAAAAATGCTCTGTTCGTGTCTACATCCTTCATAGACTTGAAAAGTTCAGAACCGTTTAAGCCCAAATTTTTACACAACATGCGTTGAGGTTCCAGCTCGGTTATTGTCTACTTTTGATGTTGATAGCTTATATGCGGTTGCGAATATATCAATTTTTTAGCGTTTCCCCGTGCCCCTACTGCTGCGCCCTCTACAGGCAGCCAGCTGAATCAAAGCATTTCCTGTCAAACATTCAAAACATATTGAAAGAAGAAATTGGAGATACAAATTTTATTTTTTTGTTCAGGTTCAGTAAGAAACGAAGTCATGCCACCAAAGAAGTCGAGATTGGGTCGTCGTATTCGCAATACAGAAGCAAAAAGACGTAAGATTACGAATATGACTGACGAAGAACGGGCCTCCATCCGAGAGACTGAGCGGCTGCGCGATGAACTTTTACTCATACAGGTTAATGGTTAGGAGGACCGATTGCAATCATATATTGAAATGTCGTCAGTTGTTTCATTAGTACATTGTCGATATGTATGCAAAAATTGAAACAGAACGTTTGCTGTTCCTCCGATTGAATCAGAAGAAACTTCGGTCCGAGGAATATTTCCATTTGCGGGATGCTGTGATGAATGACCGTAATACAACCAACGTTGGAAAGCTCACGATTTTGCCATCCTCATACATAGGTAGTCCACGCCACATGCATGAATATGCTCAAGATGCCCAGGCATATGTTCGTTGCTACGGCCGTCCAGACTTATTTATCACCTTCACATGCAATCCAGCTTGGGACGAGATAGTACAGCTGTTATTTCCTGGACAATCATATAGGGATAGGCATGACATCACAGCCCGTGTTTTTAGACAAAAGCTCAAGTCACTGATGGATTTCATTGTGTTTTTGGATCTGAGCGGTGCTGGATGTATTCAGTAGAATGGCAGAAGAGAGGATTGCCGCATGCGCACATACTGATTTGGCTGTATGATAAAATTACTCCAGACGAAATTGACAATGTGATATGCGCTGAGATTCCACGGGCAGAGGTTGATACAGATTTGCATGCAGTTGTCATCAAGAACATGATCCATGACCCTCAACCGAAGTTCACCATGCATGGTATACGGGAAGTGTTCCAAGCGATATCCTCGATCATTTACAGCCAACACCGTAACAGGGGACGATGGATATCCTCTGTATAGGAGACGGTCAACTGAAGATGGAGGGACTTCGACAACTTTAAACATGAGAATTGGTGATATTGAGGTAGACAATCGTTGGGTGGTTCCATGCTCACCACTATTGTCAAAATCATACAAAGCGCACATCAACGTAGAATATTGCAATTCCGTGAAATCGATTAAATATATCTGCAAGTACGTGAATAAAGGCAGTGATATGGCAGTTTTGGTGTTCAGGCAGAAAATGGGGACAGCAATGCAGTACGAGTTGTCGATGAAATATCTCAATACCAGGCTGGAAGATACATAAGCAGCAACGAGGTTGCATGGAGAATTTGTTCGTTCCCCATTCATGAACGCTATCCAGCTTTAGTTCACTTGGCAGTCCATTTGGAGAATGGTCAACGTATCTATTTCAAAGAAAGAAATGTGCAAGAAAGAGTCCTGAATCCGCCAGCGACAACTCTGACTGCCTTCTTCACCTTATGCCAGGAAGATGATTTTGCCGGAATATTGATGTATTCAGAAGTGCCCTCTTAACCACAAAATGCCACAGAGAAACGTGGTAGGGTACAGCTAGTAATTTATATACTGACTTATTTGATATGTTCAATTTCCACGTACCCAGTATAAATACTAGATCTTAGTGTTGCGATGTGGTAGAACATCCCCTTTGAATTACATGTGCCTTTTCGAGTCTTTTATTTGCAAATTATAATTATTTATTATTATTTTTTTTTTTTATTTATAAATTTTTAAAACAAAAATTTCGAAAAAAAAAGTTTTTTTTTCAAAGTGCTCCCATTTGTTCAAAAAAAAAAAAAAGTTTCTAAAAACGGCTACGTCATGCTATAGCCATACGTATAAAGTTTATAAAAAATTTGGTTTTGTTTGATAACAAAAAAAATCCTTTTTTCTATATATCCGCCATTCGTAAATATTTTTCTTTTAATAAGTATTTTTTAGTTAACCATATGTACTTTGATGAACTAATAAATAAAACGGTTTATTCTTAATAACTTTGTTAAAATGAATTTTTTAAAAACTCTTAAATTTCAGGCGTTCAGGGTGGTTTACTCCCTTAAATGATTGCGCAGTAAATCGAGTTAGTATTGATGGGAGCTGGCATTTATGTACCTTAATATCAGAAGTGGGAATGTTAAAAAATAACTTAGCCATAAATTTAACATCCATTAAATTTGACTTATGAATTTATCTTAAATAAAACTTTACTAACATAGTGATTTAAGGTTGATTTTAATAATAACACAGAGATTTAGATAAAAAATAATAAATACCAACAAAAATTATATAAAAAAAAACTAAAATGATTGCAATTGGGGTAAAATAATTATTAATAGACATATGAAATTTTCAAATGGAGAAAAAATTGTAAAAGTAAACACCGATTTGTCAAATCCGAAAACTTGTTTTTAAATTTATTATACTTATTGTCGCCGAAATCGTTCACAGCCATTAGAACATAACCGGACGTTTAGGATATGGGAAGGAAAATATGGTACATATTGGATATGGATTAGCTCCGAAAACTAAAACATTAAAAACATTCCAATTCGAACTGTTCACAAATCGAGCACGTAAGGTGTACAATGGTAAAGGTGTGCACATCAAACATTTCAAACTTATTTAAATTCGCAGAACCATCCATCTGTCTGTTACATAAAATTTCTGTTGGCTCTAAACTTTCAATAACATTTATATATTATATAAATTTATTTTTTTATATATATGAATATACACAAGATTTATTTATTAAATGTATATTCATAGTTTTCTTTATTTTTTACATCATAAATATGTTGTCAGCTCTAAGTAGAAATCAAAACAGGTCTCAGTATCTTAGTGCCAGTCCTTGAATGGTTTTTCAGCTATGCTTCCTGCTAGCCACCCCCGAAGCCAATGGGTTCTATTTTAGTGCCAGAAAAATTATTGTTTGCCACAAAAAACGCAGGGTTAGCTCTTTGATGTGCATTTCGAGCAAGGTGACCAAGCCTGGCTGCCTCCGCCTCTGTCTTGTGAACCTCTACTGCGGTAGCATGGGCAGCTGCGTGAGCGACAGCAGCTTTTGACGCCGCGAGTGTTCTTTGAATAGCCTCAGAGCGTTGAAGAGCAGCAGCCGCCTGCGACTTTGCTTCAGTATTACGGCCTGCGTCTGTTTTTCTGTAGCTATACGTTGCTGATTTAATACATTTTCTTTAGCTGCTTGTAAATGCTGTTGTGCTATTAAGACGTTAGCTGACGCCTGTTTAGCCACTGAAATAGCATTTATTACTTCACTTGGTGTAGGTCCGAGACCTAGCGCATGACTAGTTCTCCAGGCCGGCAAGCCTTGACTCCAGGGGATCCATTCAAAAGTTTCTCATTGGTGAGCCACGGATAGGTGTCTTCTAGTACAAGACTTCTCTTCGTATAAACTTTTGAATTAAAGTCGCATCTAGCATTTACAGCCAATACCATTAACAGCATCAACTTTAGAATGGTGGGATTATACTGTGCCATGGATGATGGTAACTAAATTTTGCAAAGCTAACCAACTGTAAATGAGCCAATAGCCATCAGAAGCTTTATTTATACTCGGCAACCAATCTCAGAGCCAATAATAGGTCACGTAGGAGCTGTTGAAAGCATTACTGAAAAATAGTCGCTGATGAAAATTGCTCTACGATCAATTGCAAATCCTTTCCTTTTGTTGCATAATAAAATCTCTGCTCTTGATTGTGATGAATGAAGCCAATTATAAAAGTTGTGTTCAGATACTATTAATATTAACTTTTGTAAGTAAATTACAAATCAAATCAAATCGCCATTAATAAGCCACTTTCGCCGGTAGATTTAGAATTTCGGCATTAAAATGGGTCCAAAGTCAAGTCGCCCCAAATTTGAGAAAATTTCCCTTAAATCAGGAAAGAAACTTCCTTAAATGTAGAAAAATTTTCTTGTTTTAGGGCGATTTGCCCTAATTATGGAAAAAACTTTTCAAAAATTAAAGGTAAATTTGTCTTAGATTTAAAAAGATTTTAATTAATATTTTTGATTTTGGATTAATATAAAAATGAGAATTTTTTCTTAATTCAGGGGTAATTTTTCTTGATTTAAGACAAAATGGAATTAATTTAGGGCAAATAACTATTAAAACAGTGGATTTTTATACCCTTGCAGGGTATTATAATTTCAGTCAGAAGTTTGCAACGCAGTGAAGGAGGCACCTCCGACTATATAAAGTATATATATTCTTGATCAGGATCAACAGCCGAGTCGATCTAGCCATGTCCGTCTGTCCGTCTGTCCGTCTGTCCGTCTGTCCGTCTGTCCTTCTGTCCGTCTGTCCGTCTGTCCGTTTCTACGCAAACTAGTCTCTCAGTTTTGAAGCTATCTGAATGAAACTTTGTAGTTAGCCTTCTATATACTCTCACTCGTATATATGTCGGAACGGGCCGGATCGGACGACTATATCATATAGCTGCCATAGGAATGATCGGAAAATTTTTACAAAAAAATTTTTAACTTTTTCAGTTTTCAATAGAATTGGATCAAATTTGAGATATAGCCATTTTACTATACTCTACAATTTTGCATAAAATTTTATGAAAATCGGATTACTATATCATATAGCTCCCATAGGAACGATCGAGAAATTAATACAATTAAATTTATAACCTTTTCAGTTTTTAACTGATTTTCATCAAATTTTAGGTATAGGCATTTTATATTAGTCTTAAATTTTGTGTCAAATTTCATGAAAATCGGACGACTATATCATATATGTGCCATACAAACGATTGTTTGATGTAGACGAAAAATGCAAATCTGCGAATGTAAAACTGCAAATATAATATGTATAGGTGAATGAAATGAAAGCAGGTATTACTTCATTTTTTTTTAACACAAATAAATATAATTTATATTGTTGAGATTCCAAGTCATAGAAGTTCTATCTGCAAGGGTATATAAACTTCGGAGTGCCGAAGTTAGCTTCCTTTCTTGTTTGAAAATCATATAGCTGCCATAGGAGCGACCGAGAAATTAAAAGCATACAAATTATAATTTTTTCAGTTTTTAACAGAGTTTCATAAAACCTGAGATATAGCTCTTTAATATAATTCTAGAATTTTTCTTTTAATTTTATGAAAATCGGACTGTCTAATTAAGGAAAATTACGCTTAAGTTTGAAAAAAATAGCAATAAATTAAAAAATTTGTCAAGCCAAAATTTAATTTTTAAGATTATGCTATGCTCAAATACCCCTTTAAAGAGGAAAAAATCCACTATTTTAATGGTTACTCGGCCTAAATTAATTCCCTTTTCTCTTAAATCAAGAAAATTGCCCCTGAATTAAGAAAAAATATCAAATCAAAAATATTAATTAAAATCTTTTTATATGTAAGACAAATTTACCTTTAATTTTAGAAAAGTTTTTTTTCCATATTTAGGGCAAATCGCCCTAAAACAAGAAATTTGTTCTACATTTGAGAAAGTTTCTTTCCTGATATAAGGGCAAATTTTTCTCATATTTAGGGCGACTTGACTTTGGAACCATTTTAATGGCGAAATTCTAAATCTTAGGGCGATTGAGGGCGATTTGAGGTTTAAATTTGTATGAGTGTGAAAATCAGATTTAATGCAAACCTCCTTTTTACTTTTAAAGGTGTAATTTACTAGAAAAATATAATATTATATGCTGAGTATAATTAGATTAAAACAATTATTTTAATTGTATCTGAACACAACTCTTATAATCGGCTTCATTCTTCACAATCAAGAGCAGAGATTTTATTATGCAACAAAAGGAAAGGATTTGCAATTGATCGTAGAGCAATTTTCATCAGCGACTCTTTTTCAGTAATGCTTTCAACAGCTCCTACGTGACCCATTATTATCTCTGAGATTGGTTGCCGGGTATAAATAAAGCCTCTGATGGCCATTGGCTCATTTACAGTTGGTTAGCTTTGCAAAATTTAGTTACCATCATCCATGGCACAGTATAATCCACCATTCTAAAATTGATGCTGTTAATGGTATTGGCTGTAAATGCTAGATGCGACTTTAATTCAAAAGTTTATACGGAGAGAAGTCTTGTACTAGAAGACACCTATCCGTGGCTCACCAATGAGAAACTTTTGAATGGATCCCCTGGAGTCAAGGCTTGCCGGCCTGGAGAACTAGTCATGCGCTAGGTCTCGGACCTACACCAAGTGAAGTACTAAATGCTATTTCAGTGGCTAAACAGGTGTCAGCTAACGTCTTAATAGCACAACAGCATTTACAAGCAGCTAAAGAAAATGTATTAAATCAGCAACGTATAGCTACAGAAAAGCAGACTGAAGCCAAAGTCACAGGCGGCTGTTGCTCTTCAACGCTCTGAGGCCATTCAAAGAACACTCGCGGCGTCAAAAGCTGCTGTCGCTCACGCAACTGCCCATGCTACCGCAGTAGAGGTTCACAAGACAGAGGCGGAGGCAGCCAGGCTTGGTCACCTTGCTCGAAATGCACATCAAAGAGCTAACCCTGCGCTTTTTGTGGCAAACAATAATTTTCTGGCACTAAATTGAACCCATTGGCTTCGGTGGGTGGCTAGAAGGTAGCATTACTAACTAAGATATTGAGAACTGGTTTGATTTCTACTTAAAGCTGACAATTAAAGAGACTTGAATGTAAACTTTATTGTAAACAGCTTATATATATATACATACACATAACTTTAAGAAAAGTATAATTCCTTATTTTACTTTATTTAACCGAATTTGTTGGTATATGGTTCTTTACTGACTGATTAGTTTCGTGTCTCAATCTGAACTTTAAAAGTGCTCAGATTGCCGTCAAACCTCGGTCTCAAACTTCCAAATATTGAGTGAACTTCAAAAGTTGTGAGAAAATTAGAGAGAGCTTTTGAGTTGTGGATATGAGTGGACTTTGATTGCCTTTACTTTCCTCATGAATACAAGTGCTGTTTGATTTTAAGATTATTGTAATCTATGGTTTTGTTTTCGACTTGTCGAGTCCGAACTTTGACGTGGGAACGTGAAAATTTGGTGAGGGCTCAGGCAATCAATATTTAGTCTACTAATGGGGACTCGTCTGGAGTTTTGGATTATATCCTGAGCCGGATTTTGTGTTTATTCAGAAGATATTTTCTACAATTGTGGTTTCTGTGGCTGCAAATACAAATGAATTTATTTTGTTTGTCTTCGCACATGGTATTGCGTATATTATATTTTTTTTATTTTTTCTTTTTATGAATTGTATTTTATATTTTAGAATATTTGCTTTCTGATTTTAAATTTCTGCCAAGCTCTGAGCGACTGGTAGCATTGCATTAGTCACGTTAGTAAGTTGGTTCATTTTTATTTATTTATAAATTCATTAATTATACCCTTACCTCTGCACAACAAAAGGGAGTGTTTTTAACGATGTGCTCCGACTCACATCAGGTGGGCAGAGGTAAGGATAGGTAATTTAATAGATTTTGTACGTTAAACTCGATAGACAATTTAACATGTAACAGAAATAATACTTATTGTACATGGAAAATAGAACACGGAAATGATCATGCTCATCAATGTTCGTCTTACAGACGTTAAGGGCTATTGGACGAAAATGGCGAGAACGCCTTACAGGGACAGCGAGTCGTATTTTCTTACAAGGTATGAGGATCAAATTTGACCGTTAATTAGCTTAAGAATAAAAACAAGAAAGGAAGCTAACTTCGGCACGCCGAAGTTTATATACCCTTGCAGATAGAACTTCTATGAATAAAAAACCATACAATATAAATGATATATATTTGTGTTAAAAAACAATGAAGTAATACCTGCTTTCATTGTATTCACCTATATATATTATATTTTCAGTTTTACATTCAAAGATTTGCATTTTTCCTCTACATCAAACGATCGTTTGTATGGCACCTATATGATATAATAGTCCGATTTTCATGAAATTTGACACAAAATTTAAGACTAATATAAAATGCCTATACCTAAAATTTGATGAAAATCAGTTAAAAACTGAAAAGGTTATAAATTTAATTGTATTAATTTCTCGATCGTTCCTATGGGAGCTATATGATATAGTAATCCGATTTTCATAAAATTTTATGCAAAATTGTAGAGTATAGTAAAATGGCTATATCTCAAATTTGATCAAATTCTGTTGAAAACTGAAATTGTTATACTTTTTTTGTAAAAATTATCCGATCATTCCTATGGCAGCTATATGATATAGTCGTCCGATCCGGCCCGTTCCGACATATATATGAGTGAGAGTATATAGAAGCTAACTGCAAAGTTTCATTCAGATAGCTTCAAAACTGAGAGACTAGTTTGCGTAGAAACGGACAGACGGACAGACGGACATGGCTAGATCGACTCGGCTGTTGATCCTGATCAAGAATATATATACTTTATATAGTCGGAGGTGCCTCCTTCACTGCGTTGCAAACTTCTGACCGAAATTATAATACCCTGCAAGGGTATAACAAGAAAGGAAGCTAACTTCGGCAC